GAAATGAATGGAAAAAACAATAAATGAAGATTAACACTAACATTTTTCTTTAGCCTTCTGATCATCATTCCATTTCTCAACCTGTAGTGAAGCTCATCTAATCTACGTGCACCCCTGAAAAAAATTAAATAAATAATGTTAAACACATTTACTTAACAAATAAAACAGCTCTTTCTGTGCTCTATTCACTAATAAATTTGATTGGTCTGGTGTATGCCTTGGTTTGTCATGACCAAGTTTGTGCTTCAAGCCTTTCACAGTCATATAGCTTTTCACAGACATAGGAAAACTGCTCCAATGTGTGTGTAAAGTCATTTAAATACTGTACCTTGTGTTCCACTTGCGGAACTTTCCCACATCTTCATAATGAGCCTCACAGTATCGGTTAGCAAAGGCAGAAAAGGTTCCAAACACACCAGGCCGAACGATATCCAGCTGAATGTACAACTGAAAGATATGAACAGAAAAGAAATTAAAATTCACAACAATAGGAACTGCTAACTGTTGATGCCATTTGACCAGGCACCAAGTGTTGCAGGGCTTTAATTGAAAGGTTGGAGATCAAAGAATTCTCTAGTTAAACTATAGTAAGCAAAATTCCCCACACTTAATCAAAGCCAAGTTAGGACTCTTTGGCTAGCTCATAATCTAGCAACAAAAACAAAAGCCAGTAAAGCGAAAGACTGTAGGAAAATAGAAATAGGAAAAAGATCTATGCTAGCAGGGTACATGGATTTATGCCATTATATAAATATGCAGTACAAATCAATAAAAGACAATAGCATAAATAAAAATGTCATACCTCTTCTGGTCTGGCTAGCGAGGGAGTGCCTGTTAGCAGAATGACCCTCTTTGCACTCTTAGCAATAGGGTGCAACAGCTTAGTACGACCAGCATTCCTGTTTTTCAAGTAATGACTCTCATCCAAAATTATAACTTTGAACTGTTGTTTTTTCATTGCATTGACGAGGAGTTTGGATGATCTTCTGTCCCCACAAAGACCATAACCAAGAATGCTTATCTTGGATGTAGGGATGTTACTGGAAATAGATAAATATACTTATCAGTTTTTAATTTATAGAAGGAGGAGAATTAGAATGAGAAAGAGGAAAGTAGAAGATGAACTGTGAGGAGTAAAAGAGCAAAAGAAGGAGAAAAGGACAGTGTTTTTTATTAAGTTTTGAAATTATAGGAGAATATCATCGTATTTTAAGCAGGAAATATTGCTCTGTTACTGGAATATTCTTCAAGCTTCAGCCCTTAATGAAAACCCTAATAAACTGATTCCATAAGTTGGTCCCAGTTCGCTCTTTGTTGATTTTTTTGTCGCTCACAGAAACTAGGAACAAAGAAGGGAAAACTATGACTTTTGGAATCAGTCCAAAACCCCAGAAGGATATAAGTAAATTATATTAATATGATAAAAAACTACAAATCATATTCAATAAAATGAATGACGGAAAGTTTACAGTGCTGCAACAGCTGGTGTGCTAACTCATAAATATTGATGATATATATCAGACAGAACATGTGCTCTAAAGGAATTAAAAATACTTACAAAACTAAGGATTCAAAAATGTCATACATCATGCTAAACCTAAATCATTAAGAAGAATGTAAAAAAAGTATTTTCACAAGAGTCAAAACTGGTTTTTTAAAAAAAAAACCCAAAGTCATTGATTTTTTAGACGTTGGAAGTTGCATATTTAAACAGTACGACTGAAACAGGCACCTAAACAACGTCTTGAGATCGACTGTTAGAACTCACTATTCACCATAGAAGTTTCATAGAGGAACCTCATATTAAGAACAATTTGAGAAAATACCCTAAAACAGGCTTTGCACGATCGTGTGATGGCAGTCATGGCAGGAGGCACAACAATAAAGTCTTTTTCCCAAGAGAAACTAAGTTTTTTCATTTAAATATTTGCAGTACAATACTTTAGATTCAAATGTTCCTGCCGCCTGTCATGTCTGCTATCTGTTATGGTGCAAAGCTTCTGCAGATAGCTAGAATCTTTAAAGTACCTGATATCAGTACCAGAACGTATCAGGTTTATATCCCCTGGTTCTAAATCTGTTATCCATTTCTCAATTTCTTCAATCCATGGGTATTTCATGGACGATGGCACAACTATAAGCAATGGCCATTCATCTTTGTAGAAGTAAGCAATGCTAATGGCTTGTAAGGTTTTCCCAAGACCCATCTAAGACAACAACAATACACAAATTCTAATTACTGTATTTCTAATATGGAAATGTTCAACATACTTCAAAATTACGATTCAATAGTTGTTTGACTCATTTGACTCATAATTCTCTGTAAAGTGGTGATAAATATTTGGATTTTTAATTTTTAAGATCTTTGATAATTTACAGTTTTATTTACTCATGGTGGTCTAGTTTCAGCATCAAGATAGCAAAGTAGCAGCAATAGCATTACTGTTGATATTAATGAATACTGGTACATGTATTTTAATGCCGAAATGAGGGTACCAAAAATCTTTAGGAATTCCATAGGTCTCAACTAGAACATATATATATTTTGTAATTTTGGAACTTTTGCTCAAATTTCATGAAATGTGAAGCTGATATTATTATTTCATTTTCTGCAGCCAATCAGAATTCATGATTTGCAACAGTCACTTGTTTGAATATATATTAAGAGAAACTATACATGGATTTATTGATACTGTATTACCAAAGGTATTTACCTCATCTCCAATAAGACATCTGTAGTACATGTGAATCAAATAAGACAATCATTAAGACTTTATCAGTAAATTAAAGAGAACTCTTTAATATTGATATTGGTCTTCTTAAGTCCTTTAAAACACGTGTGTGTGTGTTTGGGAGAGGGGGGGCATCATAAGCTGGTTTGAAATTGTTAGTGAGGTTTAGATTGAAACAAGGGGATTTCTAGTATGTTTTGCATAATATAAATAGGAAAAAGAGAAGAAAAGTTTAACGAGAAGAATAAGTGAGGGATTTAAAAGCTTTGCCCTGTAAAACGTTCACTTGCCCTGTCACGGCCTCTGCATTGTTAACTTGAAAGGAAATCCCCACGATGAAGGACAGGACGGCCAGCAACAAAACAGCCAAAGGCACGAGAATTATAGATCTTTGAATTCATTACACCATCAATGAAAAGGAATCCGGTTGAAATATTATTGTTATTCATTTGGGGAGGAATTTACCAAGAAAAGAAGGGACATTTTGAAAGAAAAGAGCGCAAGCTTGTCAAACTTTGAACCAAATTTTTCAGGCTAAGAACGAGCAGATCGTAACGAAATACCTCCTCTTACCTTCCTTTGTTATTGATACCAAAACGAACTCCATGTCTTTGGAAATCAAGTAACGCTACATTTAAGTTTTCTGGTAAAAAGTCTAAATTTTGAAGCTGTGATAGTTGATCCGCCATGGATGTAAACACAGATGATGGCGGGAATACATCACGTGGCTAAGGGTTACCACAGGTAGCCCAATCACAGGTTCGGAAGTTTGTCGAATGATATGGATCTTTTAGTATTTTCCTTTTCTATACTTCAATTTGACGGATTTGGGTAGACAGGAATAGGTTACTCAAACATAGAAAAGCTTCACTATTTTATATTCTATTATTTTAGATTGAAAATCAGAAAAGCTAAAAAGGAGCAAAGGTAGGTAGGTATAATGTTTAGGTCACCCATCCAAATGCTAACCCGCCTCGACGAGCTTGACTCAGTATCTTGAACGATAACGATTTATCCACTGGACCACGGTTCCAGGTGAATAAGCATAACAATAGCCGTGAAAACAATGCACCGAATAGACTAGACTTTTTAACATAATATTTTCAACCGATTCCGTGCGTGGCAGAGATGCAAGGGATTAGCCGATATGGTCTGGGGGCCGGCTGGTCTCTCCCCTGATGCTTCGGCTAGAACATTTTCTTGCGTAATTCGTRCACCCAAGGGCAGAAGGATTTAATCGCCGTCAGGTCCGAAGTCCATACGCCGCCTCAGCTCTGCGGATGTCTCGGGGGTATGGCAAAGTGGAATCGTATTTTTTGAATTTCTTTTGGTGTTTTCAAATCCCATCTTATCCACATAAGATTTTTCTTCTTTTTTAAATCCATTTTTTTATTAGATTTCAATCTTCAACAATGAGGCAATCTTTTTAGTGAAAAAAGATTTATTCCTATTCGGTTGCTTATGAGCCTGTATGAGTTCGATCAGACGTTATCAGTCATATTGATGGTTTTCAATCATTCCCAAGAGAATTAAATAACAAAAGACACAGCGGCCATGTTGGAGGATATAACAAAGATATAACAAACTACATTGACAATTCTTTTGCTAAAGTCCTCCAACATGACGGCCGTGAAAACCATCAATAAGCAATATCGATCCGCGAAAAGTAGAGCTATGCCAGTGAACACCAACAGGGCCTTAAATTAACCCCTTAAATTAACTTTATGGCTCATCGATATCCTTTATGACCTTCCATCCTATCTAACTACTTTTTTGGGGGGTGGAGGGGAGGGGGTGGGGAGGGGGGCTGAGTAAGGGCACGTATGACAAAGTTCATAACTATCAGTGACGTTTCAAAACAGTCCTTTATTTGTCGTAGTAAAACAGAGATTTATAAAGCATTAATAAGATGAGTACTCAACCGAGCTTGACTATTTGATCAGTTTATTCTTACCTCACACATGGGGAAAATCAAAACATGGCTCCCCTGTGGCGAAGTTTATCCGAGTGCACTCATGGGATACTGGAACCAGCAGGGTGACAAAATAATCCCCTAAAACCTCGAATGTTCAAGGGTAGCTAGAGAACCATTTCAACTTATGATGCATAGGATTATGGTAATGATCACACCCAAGGAGGCGAGATGGCGCGAGGCTTTTTTTATCTGACCCAAATTCTGACCCATAATCCTTTGTATCCCCGAAGAATATAATGATTAATATAATAATCAGTCTGTGGTTTGAGTTACTTTTAGGAAAGATTTAGTCCAGAACTGACCCACTTTTCTTACGATATGATTTATTTATATCTCAAAAATAAAAGGGATTACCGCGCACGCGCACGAAATACAAAGCTACTTGGTTCTATCCGATGCGCGCGCATCGATAAGAGTGGGTCCAGCTCTGGACTAGGAAAGATTGAGTTACTCTGTTGTGGCGATCCTTTTTATAAGTTTGGTAAATATTATTGAGAAAAGAGGAGGTCGAGGACTAGAGGAAAGAGTCAGAGCAGGGATAGATGCCGTATTGCAAGGGTTACTGGTTTGGTTCTCTTTGGGCATGCATGGAGGGAATTCCGTCCCCAACCAGGAGTACCGGGAGGGAGTGAAGGGATAGATAAGGACAAGAGGAAATTGGAATGGAGGAAATGGAGAAGAAGTAAGTACAAAATTACAATTTTGTTTTTATTTTGTCATAGTGAAGCATCAGTTTTAGTACGTGACCACGAGAGAAAAAAAAAAAAAAAAAAAATGGCAATTACTATCTACCAAGACAATATGAACTAAGCTTAGTTACTGTGCAATAGTGCAACGAGCTTCGCCAATGTAGGGACCATTGTCATGATATGCCTTGGCATCAACTAAAGATTTCATCTATCACCAATTTCTTATAGCCATTGTAAAAATGTAGTATTTCTTGAATTTGAACCCCTGGGCCCGGTAGGGTGGATAGCGCTATATCACGCATACATCCTTATCTAGTGGATAATTCAATGCTGGACCAATCAATTTATCCACTGGATAAGACTAATCCGTCGCGGCATCGATAACGTTATCCACGCTTTGTACTTCGGGCCCTGTTGAAGTAGTGTTTAGTGAAGAGAGCTGACCCAGGCTCAGACCAATTATAAGTCAATCAATGCCATGATAAGATTTAATATGTGATTATAACAGAAATCTGGCTTTGAACAAGCAAGCCCTTAAAGAGAAGAGGCGTACCTATCCATTGCACTCCAGCTTTCCAGCTTCAGTGATCGCGTACATGAACCATGTATAACACACTGACTCAATGACAGACTTTCTAAAAGACCTGGAAAGCTTGACACCTTACAGTGTGAGAGAGACACTCGATGCTTGACACCTCAAAATTGCTTAGCTCAACCACGACAAGCACGTAATGTTTCGTTGAAGTTCTAGTTTCAATAAGGAAACATTTGACAACTTACATGCATAAATTGTGTAAATTGTATACTTGTACATTCAAAAAAAAAAAAAAAAAAAAAAAAAAAAAAAAAANAAAAAAAAAAAAAAAAAAAAAAAAAAGGAAAAAAGGAGGGAGGAAGAAATGAATTGATAATGTAATAAAAACAAAGAGTTTTTGTCAAAGTTGGTAATTAAGTGATGATAAAAAATTCGAAACATTTAAGATAAACTCAAGAAATAATGTAAAGAAGAAGGAAAACAAAGGAACGATCGAAACGAAAAAAATAAACAGTTCAGTGTATACTTTTTCTCTCATTTGTGTCGGTCGACGGGGAGTAAAAAATCAAAACCATTGCAATTAAAGCATCAATTCTTAAAAGCGTAGTTGTTTATTTACACAATGCAATTTCTGTTCAAATTTGTTACTTGGTGTGCTTTTGTCTCTTGACACTAAACAATAGTGTCCTTTGAATTTGATAAATAACGTAATTATACAACAACAAATATTTCGCTATTTGTGGCACTTCCGTTAACGAAAACACTTTTCACTGTGAAAAGACGACAAAAATTCTTCTGAAAAATCACCTTTCGTCTTTTATACGGACTAGTAAATGTTTTAACGTCGTTAAAAGCCCATGGAATCGTGATCAAATTCAGGGTTTCTTTTGTTTATGTGTAAGGTAAAATAAAAGAACTCTTAGAGCATTACATGGTAAACATCCAGTTAACTGAAGAAAAATTAGTAGTCTGGATGGACTTTTGATTACTGATTATATTGTTGATATATTTTTAAGGTGTAGTTTTCGTTCCAGGAGATATTGTTAATCTTGACATGACGAGGTTCGTGGCCTGATGTTGCAGGATGTGCATAGATTTTTAGTATTTATATTGCTTCAAGGTGTTTGCATTTTTGCTTTAAATCTCTTGGTGTCGTAGTGCTAATCGTTTGTGTTCTTTTTTAGGACTGATTCCATCAATATCTTCCTTCATTTTCTCAATAAATGTACCTGGTTTCATTCTATAGTAAGTAAAGAGTTTTTGCATCTCAGGTTTTGCTTTCTTTTTATTTTAATTTAATCCTGCTTCAGGTGAATGAAACGCTATATTACCGCGGTCCACTTTATCAAGCTCGATGTTTTGATTTACCATATTGAATTTAACTATGAAATAATGATTCACGCAGCATGGAGCAAAAAACACTGAAGATCGCCGGATCGGAACTCTTCATGACCACACCTTGAATGACAAGCCTGAGAGAACTTCTCATGCAAGTCAAAAGCATCAGTTATCTGCTTTAAAACATTTGCCACTTCGAGTGTTACTCCAGCGTATATCACCGACTAAAGTTTTTAACGACATTTATTTTTTCCATCAGACCGAAGTAAGATGCCTACTCTGAAGTGTCAAAGCGTTCACTCTTTATCAATAACTTGTTGGTAATTTTTTTCTCTTGTTTTCCTTGCTTACACGGTTGTCAAATTTTGCGTTCCATAAGCAAACACTGGTGGCAAAGGCTCATGATTTATTCAAGGTACTTGCTTGTACTCTGATAACAAATACCAATAGTTTTGTTATCAATGGTAATGAAAAGATGAACCTTCTCCCTAGCTCAGTACTACGGCTAGACTTGGAGTCAATAACTGTTGAATTCAATTAGAATTAACTCCTGAAGACAGTTTGTGGTTCTTGAATGGCGTCTTCAATCTATTCGAGTCGATCAGTGGGTAATCTTCCGGCTATTGGTAAAAGAGAGGACGGTGAAGGGTTAGAATCGTGCGACAAGGTCGCTTTTGAGGAGTATGGCCGCGAGAACAGTTCTTCCACAGTCGATGAGCTTTTAAGAGACACGATCAGTGAACTACAAAAAGCGCTCTATGAGTCCAAGAGATTGCTGTCTGAGAGAGACGGCGAGATTAACGCCCTGAGGAGTCAAGTTGAAGACATGAGGAAGTCGAACATGACTTGCACGAGCGTCGCCATTGAAGACGAGTTCCAAAAGTCACAGTTAAAAGTAATTGATTTGGAAAAGATTGTACAAAAACTTCAAGAAGATGTGTCGATACAACGATCCCAGAGAGACGACATCCTAAAACAAACGAAAGAAAACGAGGCTACAGTAAATGGTGGTCACACGTGCTATTGTGGGTCGATTTGCGTCGCCATGAAAGAGGTCGTCGATCTTAAACGCAAACTCCATCAAACTGAACAAAAATACCTCCATTTGAAGCGAAATATGCGAACAATGGAGCGAAATCGAGTTCGGGTTGGAGTAGCCCAGAGGGATAGCCCTTGTACTGTGAGTTAACTGTATTGAGTAGTACCCAAGAACATCCACCTACTCGATAATTGGTACGCATTAGCTATACTAACCGAACATACTAGATAAAAAATGGATTCGATAAACCTGTAAAATAGTCAACTGATAAAGATAACTGTCGAAGATACTACCAGACACTGATTCTATTGTTCTCTTTTGTTCCCATTCGAGTATTAGACAGTATATTCTGGGCGATCTTATTTCACAGGTTTATCGAACTACCATTATATATTATATACACCAAGTCTTTGACAAAACCAGGGACTAACGCGAGTTAAATGCTGGTAAATTTTCCATAATCATTGAAGTTATTCTTAAACGAATCCATTGATTTCGAAAATACTTGCTAAAATTTCGATTTTATATTTTAAAAAAACATCTTTATCATACATTTTCCATAATCGTTGACATTATTCTAAATAATTGAAAGGAGGAACGCATTCGATGATTCCAACGATATACAAAAACTCTATTTTATAGAGTATATTTATTTACAAAGCGCAAAGTTCAAATTGTTCGGGAAAATATAAATAGCCTGGATAATGTTTATTAAGGAAGATGTTTAGGACGAGGATTAAAGGAGATTGTTGTATAAAAAAGGACAGAATTGCTCTTTGGATTGACACGTGAGTGAGCTTCTGTTGACTGATTTATGATCACAACACGATTGACAGAGAGCAAGTGTGAAGGGTTAGCCACGCCTTTACCCGTTCATCTAACATGTGCTTCTATACAGGCCATGACATATCGACAAAACCAGCGAATAATATAAAAATACTACAGTTAACAGATCAATAGACCCTGAATGACCTACCAGCTAGTGCGCAGGCATTGTGATATCCGGTTCAAAAAGGTCCAAGTCGAGTGGTGTTATTGTTTACTAATATCTGTTCGGCCGTCTCACGACTGGTGCTATGAGAATAACTTGTCAAAACATTTCACTAAACGTTCATCAATCTTGAAGTACGAGGGTAGAATTTACCCGAAAAACTAATTTTACTTTTTCGAAATTTTTTAATAATTTGTCGCTGGACCGATCTTAGTTTTTTTCGCTTTTCTTCACTTTTATCTTAGTGGATGTTTTTACTTATTTGTTATTAGATTTTTCTTGTTTTGAATCAGTCATTTGACGTTACCGATCGACGGAACTAGAAAGCGCTATTTATATACTCTGACTTAGCAAAGGAGGCGGTTGTTGATACTATAGCAATGCAGATCGCTCTAGTCTAGGCGAGATGTGAATGCAATCAGCGAAAGGTCATTAAATGGAATTTTCCCAAACTTTATCGTTATACTTTCTTCTGCGCTGACATTATTTACAGATCATTCACGATACATTTAAATCTTGGTAAGCAATGTGCAATAAAACCTTTACCAACCTTTACTGAAATAGCTGTATTATTGTAGGTGCCGCAGGATGTGCACCAATCAATATACAGACTGTTTAAAACCCAATAATTAATAACGAAATTATAAAATATAATAATTGTATAATATACAACATATAAATATATAAATATAACAAATACACAATAGAAAATCGAATAAAGAATAGTTGTTAAAGTTGCTTGAGTCGTTGGCGTATCCATGGAAACGAATAGTGTTGCTAAAGACCGGTAAATAGTAGCGTAACAGCATGCAACTCCAACTTTTAAAAAACTTTATAACTTTCATTGATGTGCCGCGCATATTTCATATGTATACATCTAATTCAAGAAACGTTGTCACCGCCAAAGGTGATAGGCAATAGGCGAAGAATATCCAAGAATAGATGGAATGACTTGTGTTTCTGCTTCTTATTTTCGTCAAGAGCATACACTTATTTCAATAAAGTTAGTCACCTGAAAAGCTTGAAATCTGAGACCGGCAAGGATTATGGATAGATACATTTTACATGTTTCAACCGCTTGATAACTGTTGATGGACACGAGATCTTCTACCATTTACAGGCTCACCACCTCTGAGCATCCTCAACTGCTGCAGTTTGTGTCAAAAGCTTTACTTGTTAGATATAAAGCATTTCCCCATGATCCTCAGCGAACACGGCTTTCTAGGTTTTTGGTGACTAACTTTATTGAAATAAGTGTATCAATGTAGTCGACGAGTGCATTGCCATGTCGGAATGGCCTATCACCTATCTTTTTTTTTTGAATTAGGAGTATGCTACCATACGCGCATATTTGTTTGTTGTATCTTGTTGCCAAACAAATAAGGACGGCTGGAGCACGTGACACGTTTCCCAAACCACAGGGAACCCAACAAACAACGGGGTAAGTGAAAACGACTTCAAAACCTTTCAAAAGAAATTCAGTTAAATTCTTTAGACCTGTTGAAAAACACCTGCGTCTGTAAAAACCAGCAAACATAGGATTATATTAAGTTAAACAACTGACTTCTTTTGAAAGAAGAAGAAGAAAATAAAGAATCCTTTTGTAAAAAGGTAAAAAAAAAAAAAAAAAAAAAA